AGGCAAGCAATCATGTTTCCACCTAAACCCTAAGGCTATGTTCACACCAGATCTGCAAACAATGCATTTTTACTGCGATTTTGCCACGTTCCAGTGCTTTTTTTTTTTAAGCTTAAAATGGGCTTTCAGGCGCAGTCCATGCGTTCCATGCATTTTGGATGCTTTCTGCACATTCCAGAGCAGAGAAAAGAAAAGACAAGCAGTATTATTTTGGGTCTTAAACAGAAAGCACTGCAAAAGGTGTGAACTGTAGCCCAGAAATCACATAGGGATACATCGGGATCTAACGTTTCTGTTGTGGACAGAATCGGGACAAGCCCTAAATGTGTGCAGAAGATGACATATGGTAGAAAATGTAACTTTCTTTTTTCCTATATAAAATTGGACGCACAGTGCATGCTTCTTCAGAAAGCTTATGGATAACACTACAGCTATTTCATGCTTTGATCTGTGTATAGTACAATTAAAAACAGACCAGGTCACCAATAATTGCAGGTATTTTCAATGCTAACTAGCCGCATTTTCCCTCAACAAACATTTTTGTTCAGCTGCATTTGAGATGGTCTAACACAACCACAGTACATCCTCCATTTCATAGCCATCTCCTCTACTGGGAGTGCCTATATATTGTCTGCGCTGGCCCACCTCCTTCACCCCTCACATCTCTACATAAACATATATGTAGTTGCCAAGGGAGGCGCAAAGGGGAATACTAGGGAGTGTCACTTGAATGACAGCTCTGAGTTTGCCAAGATCACATCACAGATGTGTAACAAATATTTTGGATGTCTACACAAGGAAGGCTTTTACTGGTGAACATGCATAATTAAAATGCACTTATAGGCTGGGGCTGCCATCACTCCATCTTGGAATAAGCATACAGTAGAGCAAGGCAAGAATTGTTTTCAATAATAGGGATCAGCAATGGCAGACTTCACATTTCTGTAATGACAGTGCATATTTAAGTTCCTGCATTCTTCTCTAAGTTGTGTATGTCACAGGCACTCTTCTGGAAAATAAAAACTTGGAAGTCCCTATAGTCAACTTACTAACTTGCCACAGATTGTAGAGCATCTCCATCTTCTATCCATAATCATGCCTAGCCGCTGCTAGAAGTTAAGTCTACCTGATCCACCAAATGCCAAAACCTGCAACCATGTATACAAACTATGTGGTTAAGGAAATCTTGGTAGCAAATTATTCAATTCATCTTTCTGATGAAGATTCTCCATTACTACCACCCGTCCAGGCCTTTCTGCATTGCCATATTTTTCACTACTGAAAAGGGCTGCTCCTGAGATGGGAAGAAGCACCCACCACTGTCAGCTGCATCTTTACTCAACCTTGCAAATGTGGGTGCTTATACACTAGAATGCCCTTCCTTTTCTGAAGCCCATTTTAAATTACAGTAATACAGCTCCCTAATAGATCACCCCTTAATTGTTTATAATATTTGAGCAGAAGTCCTGTAATCTGCCGAAAGTTTATCTGAAATGTTATTGCTTTTATATCACAATATTTCAATAGTGTGTTCCCATACATATCGATTTGTTAATGAGTGAGCAAGGGAGAGAGGATGCAGGCAAGTTTTACAGTGGTGCAGTATCTAAACCAAGTACTTGTAAAACAAAAAGCTTTATAAAAAATATTTTATGCAGACTTTGTGCCAACAAATTAGCGTGAAAGATTTTGAAAGAAGGTTGTTTTTTGCGATGACATTTTCCTTTGCCAATGATCATCAAATTGGCTGCTTTGTAACCTTACCTAAGCTACTGCTTTTTTTCTACGCAAAATGTTAACAGCCCAAGAGAAATGCCTTGTAACTTTTAATTTCACAAACAAATATAAATCCATCACCCTTTCACATATGGACCTTTTTTTTACATCTAGTCAAATTTTATAATGCAACATGCATTTAAGATTTTGCTGTATTTTTTACAATATGTTACATTCCAGTACAGAGATCTTGAAGAAACAAGAATTTGTAAACATTCACTGGTCTTCTGACATATATAGACAGTACGGAAAGATTCCTTTTGGTAACATGTAACTGCTCAAGGTAAGCATTGATGAACAAGCTTTCTTTGGTTTAACAAAAGGAAAAAAAAAAACGGGGCGAAGCAATAGATTGTTCCTAAAGAGTTTGACATAAGCACTGCAGACTGCTGTAGCTATGTGCAGGCATTTTACTTCATATCCACAGCTATTTTTTGTCCCCCATGACAGTCTGATTAATGACTTCCTCACCAGCTGCCCATACTTGCCTTCCTTTATTATGTTGTTGCTTTGTTGAGCTTCTAGGAGTGAAGCCTTGTGTAAGCTCGAGTTGCTTCAGTAAGAGCTCATATGTGGCTGAAGACTATCCCCACCCCTATGCTCCCCTGCACCAAGAGAACTAGAAATGTCTTAGCCCTCAATAGAAGAACTAGGAAGTGAAGGAAAAGTAGAGTATATGCTGCTGTGGAGCAGCAGCGTTAAAGCAAACCTGTTGCTCTTCCTGCATGGCCTAACTGGTACAATACCTTTATCCTGAATCGAGCCAGCTTTTTACAGTGTAGCCTTGCCTGGTGCCACACAGCCTTGCTTTAGAAAACATCCATGCCAGATCCTCTTCAGCCTGTGTGATGTGGCCCTATTCATTTCGATCAGGAAAGCTGTACTATGCAAGACTGCTGGAGGCCATGAGTCCCTAAAGCAATGAATGGGGCTAGGGCACACAGGTTGAATTGGACGTGGGGAGGGAGGGTATTTCCTGAAGCAAGGCTGCGTGGTGCTCAACAGGACCACACAATGTAGATTTCTGGATTAAGGACTAAGATCATACCAGGTGGGGTGCACTTAGGGGGTGTGGCTAGTTAAAGGACAACTTGTACCAAAGGAACAGTTTTCCATGAAGACTTGAAACCACAGAGATAACAGACCACCACCCCGCTAGTCTGAGATCACTACATTTTTTTTAACAGCATGTGTTTTGGGGATATATTTATAAAGCAACATTCACTACAGGTGAATCTTCCTAGAGCGTGGTTTAAATTACAGTGGTTGATTCACCTGCAGTAAATGTTTGGTGAATGTCTCATTCATTGCTTTCTAAATATGCCCCATGGGCTTGCAAAACCACCTTTTCACTCCTATTACTATTAAAATGTATGCCTAGGCAAGCATGGGAGAGGCTATACAACCTTTGTTGGGTTTTACTGCTATCCTGGCTCCATTCGAGATTCCACTCCACTTCCTGTCTGGTGAAATGGTCACCGGGATAGTAAGTAAAAGAAAATCCAACAGCATCACAGGCAAGTATACAAATGCCAAATTTAGTAGCATAGGGAGGTGGTTAGAACTCCCATTAGATTTTTATAAGTGTCCCTGTTCCAGATTTCCCCTCACTTCTTGTCTGGTAAATGTTTCACTACAAGAGTAAAGCCCGAATATCAGGAGTTTAATCTGGACACCAATCTATCCAAAACTAGTAAAATTTTGTCTGGACATGAACTTAAATGACTAGAATTATAAGGCATATAATATTGTATGCATGTTCTAACGAAATTTGGCATGAGAGAAATAAAGATGCCATTGTAGCATTCTCAAAAGCTAGTTGCCTGGTTGTTATTCTGTGGATTTAAGACCTTGACCGGCAACAGATATGCTGGAGTTCCATCTTTACTTACTGATTACTTGTTCTAGATAACGGACACAAGGTATTGAAACCAGACGGTCAGCTTGACTACCAAGTAACTAAACTTTTCAGAATGAGGTGGGCACTTCTACTTTGCAGCATTAGGGTACTCTGTTTGAATCCCGTCCAGGACCCATATCTTCATGGATACTTCAAGAACATGTTAGTAAGCCAATTGGCTCGTGTCTAAAGAAGTCCTAGTATGTGTGTGTATATATGTACACGTGAGATCGGGACCTTAGATTAGCTAATTGGTGGCAGGGACTGATGTGAATGTTCAGTATGTAAAGTGATACATTCATTGTCAGTGCTTTAAAAATGACTGTAACAAATAAATAACGAAAATAATAATAGCAGTTGTAATAACTGGTTTCCTTTACAAAATTGGTAGTTGACATTAATACCAGTGCTCTTACTCAAAGCCAATGGACTTGAAATGCAAAAATGTTGCATGCAATTACAGAAGACAGTCATGCTGAATAACTTACAAAGATTCAAAATTGATGGTTGAGCCAATACTGTGCATGAAATAGGATACTAATGAGATAAACCTGGAAACTAAATGTTCCATCTCAGCAATTTCATTAAAGTGTATACAGACCAAATAGAAGTCATAGTAAAAACAGGTTTTCTTTCTCGTGTTTTTTTTTTTACTTGTGACTGCATTACTGAAATAAATTTTATGAAAAGAAAGACAAAATAAACTACAGTTCAAGAACAAAGTAAAACATCCATGGAAAAAATAAACACCTGAGATTTCAGGAGCAGTCCAGATAACATACACAGAAGTCCCCAGTAATTGCATCTACGTTTTCATAATTCTGGCTGACAAAGACAGATAACTTGGTAGTTTCATACTGTATTTATTTCATAACTAAAATCACAAATAGAGATACTTGCAAAATACTTGTCTTTTCAGGATTGATTTGCAGATACCGACCTGGTTGTCATTCCGAATCAATCTAATGTGCATCGAGTTACGGGCTTGGCTTTCCTTGATAACTGCCATGTGTTTGGTCAGATGCAACTCAGGCACCAAATGGAGAGGATGGTATCTGGAGCTGTTTTCTCCCCCCTCCCCACCCCAGCCTTCCCATACATAATCCCAGAAGCACAATGAGAGATGTTTAGTACCAGATATTAAATATCCCTCTGCCCCTTTCCTGTTCAGAGCTCCTGCTGTGTTTGCTGAGACTTATCAGCTCATCCGCCAGTTCAAGAGTCAGTACGAGCAGGTGTGACACCAGCACTGCTTCGGTTGAACGCAAGCTTAGTCTGAAATTTTCAGGTAGGTCTGTGTGTCATTGGAGAAGTCTTGATTTTGTTTTTATATATTTATTCACATTTCAGACAAATGCTGATGGAGTTATTCATACTCCAGGAACTGCTTGTGATAAAAAAGCAAATACCTGAAAAACAAAAAAAGGAGGGAAAAAAAATTATGTATCAAAACAAATGAAACATGCAAACCAATGTTCAGCTAAAGCTTAGTCCAATGTAAGTAAACATATTTTATAACTAGCAAGGCTACAGGAATCCTGTAAACCACTGCAGTAGCCACTGCTGCTACTACAGTACTTTAACAACAATCTTCAGAGTCACTGTTAACCTCTTCGTGACTGGAGACGTACAGTGTACGTCCTGTCACTTTGTGCCTATATGACTGGCCACGTACACTGTACATCTTGTCACTTTGTGCCTATATGACTGGCCACGTACACTGTACGTCTTGTCACTTTGTGCCTATATGACTGGCCACGTACACTGTACGTGACGAGTTATATCAGGCTTTGTAATGCCGGTATTTTCAAGTGATGCAACCTCACCACACTTGTACTCCACCAGCCACTACAGGACAATGTCAGGAAACCACTGAATGCAGCAGGGGACCAGGAAATAGGCACTCATGGAAGCTTTGCATGTGCAAAGTACGCACTTACTGTTGCTCTCTCAATAATGCAAACTAAACAAGGCCGTATAAACACCCAATTTACTCTGAAGGACTCTTTTCTTGCATTCTAATAACTAGTGTTAATTTTACAATAAAAAAAAGGGGGGAGTGGCCTGTATTAGGTATCTGGACAACAACTTGGCTTAATAAAGGGTAGCGGGTCAGCAATAAAACTTTTTGCTGCTGTTAGGCTTATGGTGGTGACTGCAGCCAGTTTACAGACCATAAATGGTACACCGCACTGCAGCTCGACACTCCACATCTAGAACAATGCTCACAAATGGTGAGGACTCATTGGTCAGTACGGTCACCTGACCGCACTGACCAATGAGAAGCATTTCTTGCGGTATTTGCGAGCATAATTCGAGATGCTGAGTGTCGGGCTGCAGAGTAGTGTACCGAGTACCGATCGTACACTGGCTGTACCGATCGTACACTGAGCGATGGGGAGGGGGGAGCTTTCCCCAAAAGTTATGACTAGCAGTGGGGCAGAGGGAACAGATTTGTGGGGGTAATATCAGTTTCCCACATTTGGTGGAAAACTGGAATTGCACATTATAGGCCTGAAGATTACTGAAAGGGTATTTTAACCTGTGTGCAAAAATGGCACTGGCAGCAAAAGGATGAAAGGAGAACTATGAGGAGTGCTTTTCACTCACCTCATAGTTCTAGCCGACCTGTGACAATGAGACTCACATGTCAGCTCAGTAGATCGGGAGGTGAGCGAACACATACCAGCGTTCGCTCACTTCTCGATCCTGTCACGGCTCAGTCGTGGGAGGGGCTGGATTCCCCCCCTCCTCCAGCGCTGACTGGCAGAACGGACCGGGGAGGGGGCGGGTACAGCTGGCTCTGCTTCTAGATAGGCAGAGCCAGCTGTCACTCACGCAGCTGGGCGGATCCCGGCACAATTGTCGGGATCCGCTTCAGCTGCGGCGTCTCAGTATACCGCGAGCTACAGCTCGCGGTATACTGAGCCTAGGGTGACGGGAGGACGCTAGTTTGTATCCTCCCGTTACCCTAAGGAGAACTATGGGAAAAGTCTTAACCCCATAGTTCTCCTTTAAAGACTCATAGCAGAACAAATGGCTACCCAGTGTATATAAACATATAAGGCTCACTTAGATAACTTCCAACTCACCCTTCGCTATCTAGTACATCTTTAATGCTAGCCTTGGTGATAATCGCATCATCACACTTGAACCACTGGTCTTTATGTTGTCTGATGAAGCTTGTGTAATGCCCACTCTCCAAGGTTCCCTGGTGATTAACTACTGCAAACAAGGAATACCTGCAAAAAACATGTAAAATAAATGAAGCACTAACACCAAATGTTCAAAAATGCCAGATTCTAGCAAGACATGAAAATATGCAATAAGCTGCAATCCTGTCTATGAAGCAAGCAAACATTTAGGGCCCGTTTACACATCTAGCAGTGACCTGTTTAGTAACAACATCATCAGAGTTCACGGCAAGAACAGAAAAAAAATGTGTGTCTCCCTGTCACACCATACCTTGTGTGAGATGGGCAGCACATTGCGCTACAATGAAACCTACACCTTTGCATTTTATAGCAGAGGATGGCACTGCAGATCCCTATACGGCAGCGCATCGTCCCGTGCTGCCATGCGGGGACCTGAATGGAGTGTACACATTGTATGCTGCACGCAAAGTTTTTTTCTCTTTTTTTAAATGTAAAGGGACACGACAACACACTACTGGAGCTGTCAAAACGCAGCGTTTCAATGAACGGACCCTTCGCGATTGCCAAACTAGGCCTATTCATTGATTGTTTGACCTGTATACATTTGTCTCACAGGTGTTACTTTTAATTTATCTTACTCATTCTTAAGGTGCCCATACACCTTACGACCATCGCAAGACTTTTGTCTTGCGATGGTTCGATCGCGGGATTTCGCCCGATTCTCGTACGAGAATCGAGCAGTGTATGGGCACCTTTATGGTCTCAGATGCACTGGAAAACTAAAATGATATTCAGCTGATTGACTGCAATCACTGTTCAGCTGAGATTTTTCAGACTGCCTCCTGTGAACCAAGGTGGGGGTGCCCTGACATGGCCACATACTGGTGGAATTTCAAGTGCTGCTGTCTTGGCCAAAATTCTACCACCTTACCAAATCTCCACTACAGCATAAATCTGCAATGCACAGGTGATCAAAGCATATGTTTTACGAATGCAACAGTCTTAAGACATCTTCCAGCAGTCAAATTGTACCAGCACAAGAGACTTAATGGAGGTCTACAGCAACACTCAGGCATTTCTTGTCAGGCACATCCAGCTATATGGTTAATCTCCCAAAAAAACATCTTAGTTATTCCCACACTTTATTCTTAGTCACTAAGTGATGGCTAAACCTTAAGCTGCACAAAGACATGACGCCACAGCAAACCAAAGAAAAGCAGGTTAGTAATGCTTAAAAGTAGGGCTTGTGGATGCGGGCGAGCGGGTCTGGCAGCGGCGAACGTGAGGTGGGGAAGAGGTGCGGCACGCAGTGTGTGTGGAGCCGTGAACAGGGCCAACTGATCGGAAGACGATTAATCGATTATTGAAAAAGTTGACAACTTTTTCAATAATCGATTATGTCGATTAGTTGTTGCAGCCCTAGCTGGTAATGATTAAAATTTGTGTTCGATTCATCGAAATTTTTTTTAATCGATTATAATGCACATACAGATCCAACTACATTGGCCTATACACATAAAGCACAGCAATGAAGTAATAAAATTAACTAGGATCACACTAATCCAGCACGTTATTAATCTCACATGGGGCAACTCAGAATAATAACGTGCTGGATTAGTGTGATCCTAGTTCCTTGTATGACTTAATTGCTGGTGCTCGTGCAGAGAGTTTAAAAAAAAAATTAATCGATCAAAAAGATTAACGATTAATCGTTAATTTGCACAGCCCTACTTTAAAGGGATCTTTTATCACATTTTATCATATATTGTTCAACGGGCAGCACAGTGGCGTAGTGGTTAGCGCTTCTGCCTTGCCGCACTGGGGGTCCCTGGTTTGAATCCCGGCCAGGTCACTATCTGCAAGGAGTTTGCCCTGTGCTTGTGTGGGTTTCCTTCGTGTACTCCGGTTTCCTCCCACACTGCAAAGACATCCTGGAAGGTTAATTGACTCATCTCTAAGTTGGCCCTCTATGTATGTGTGTGAGATAGGGACCTTAGATTGTAAGGGGCTGATGTGAGTGTGCAACTATGTAAAGTGCTGCGTAAATTGCCGGCGCTATATAAATACCTGTAATAAATAAAAGTTCAGTCTCTCAGGGGGACTGATGGAGCACATTAAAAAGGCTAGCAGGCATGCTGTACCAAGCAAAAAGGATAGTCATGAGAAGAGTTGCGGTGCTACGTGACCAGTTCACCCAATGATAGAGAAGTCTAATATTTGCTTTCTGTAGGATTTCTTCCACCTTCCCTTGCTTCCAGAACTGCAGGCTCAGTCAGACTCTTCATCATTCAACACTTCTGTGAGTGTAAGATGCCCGTGTCCCCTGCCATGCACAGTGGATCCGTCCTCTGGCTTCCTACATTACTGCCGTCTCCTCTTGTAACATAGGTGTCAGAGAATGGAACCACAGTGCATGGCAGGTAACACAGGCATCCAGAAGTGACAAATGCTGAAGAGCCTGACTGAAACTGCAGTGCAGTGTGAACGTTGGATGCACTGTGTGCTGGAGAGAAGAAAATACGATCTATGACAACCCTCTTTTTGAATTTCTTCAAAGCGACAGATGGGATTTGGTAAAATAAATATTTAAAAAAAAAAAATCATATTTCACAATGCCTTCCATTCGGCATTTGTTTACACAGGATATAGAAAACCATGCATACCCATTTAAGTGGGAGAAAGCACATAAGTAGCATTTCACACTAAAATGTGTCAAGGTCAGTGTATTCTGAACTTGAAAAACTATGAACAGAACAAAAGATTAAAAACTAGAGACAGACCTGTAAATGGGTCTCCAAGAATCTTTCAGGATAACTGCCTAAAAGATGCCTAGATCTGCCAACTAACTACTGCCATACCTTGTGCCATCAAGTGTTAAAAATAAACCAAGCAAAAAAATAAGGGAGCTTTGGGTCTGACAGTTGGGGTTAATGTATATAAAACAGCAGCTCTCCTTCCTCTCCGCTTTTCCAGTCACACAAATCTTTGTATCCTTTTCACCAAATACAAGGCATTTGGTAAATGAACAGGGACAGAGGAGGGGCAGGTAAAAATCACACGACTGCCCCTTGTTTTTCACAGAATGCCTTGTATGCAGTAAGGCGACTACAAGGCTTTTACTGAATGGATGAGGGGAGAGAATGGGGGAGAGCAAGTAACTTAATCCTTCAGTGACCAATAGCCAGAACTGTCAGTCTCAGCACCCGAAGCTCGTGGCTAACATTAGAATCCGCCATGAATAAAACTAGCAATTGGAGCAGCACAAGCTGCCATCTGTACCTATTTTAAAAGCATTGGAGTTAACTTCTTTGCACCAAGCAAAATTGAAAACTCCCCCCCTAGAGCACCACATCAAGACACCATTATTGTATGTACCTATTAATCGATGAACAGTGTAACAAATGACTAAATTAGGACAAGGTGAAAAATGTACAATTTAATTGGCCTCCATTGTTCCTTCAGGGTAAAAACCAGATGAATGTGAAAGAAAAAAACAGAATGCAGTGCATTCATACTTACTTATTGTCATTATTTAAACTGTCTTGTGGCTGCTGATACTGACCATTCATTCTGCTCTCTTTGCTGGAACACAATATTAAAATTCATGTTAAAAAGTGTAATCTTTTATTATGAAAAGCATTCCATCAATACTGTAAGGGGGCAAAAAACTATTCTAACATATCCAGCAAACATACTTGTACACAAAAGGAAAGGTGGAGGCGATAGCTGCACCATTCCTACATCATGTGCAACGTACTTTCAGTTTTAATCTACTACCAACACTCTCTACCTACAATGATCTTCACGAAAAGTATAGGGAACCTTAGAACCCGATAGACTGGAACTGGGAGTATTTCATATGCGGCATTATAAAGGAGGAACAGGCGCAACCTACTTTAAATCATCTGTACTAAAATATTATAAGATATTCAATCTATACAAATTCATAAGCCATCATTAGCTGCAATCGATAAGAGATCGGAAGCTCAAACGATAAGAGATCATAATAAAAACTTGTTTTTGGTAATCAGGCAAGGTGTAGCATGTGCCAGTGCTGCTGACCACAACCAACCAAGTTGAATTAATTCAACTAAAGATTACAATTTAAAAAAAACACAAAAAAAAAAACACACAAGATTTACATATTAACCATTAAGCCATAAAAAGCCCAATATTTCCCTGATCCAACACTTATTTGAAAAATTGCCATTTAAGGGAACCCCTAAGAGGCAAACACTTCCACAGCAAGCCCGGGCTCTTGAAGATTTTCATACTTGTTGCAAAATCTTCAAATGACCCGAGACCTCCGTCCACCTAAAGCTAAAAAGTCAAGACAATATGTACAAATGGTTTATGCCAAAACTGCAGGCATCATAAGCACAAAAACTGGATTCTTACCTAGAGGCCATGAATGGTGTCATGTCTAATTCCAGGGGAAATGACACATAAGTTGTGATCTTCCTCCTCAACTTTGCTGAATGTTCAAACCGCTATGTCCAAGAACAGAAAAAAAAAAAAGTGATTTACAGTGTACAAATGAGAAATCAACCCCCCCCGCAAAAAAAACGAACAAAACCAGACCACTGATGTGTTTGGAAGACCTAAAAAACTAGAGCTCCTATCATACTGCATATACCAGTAATTATAAAATGCTACTACTTAGATGTAGACAATGAGTTAGGCAATTTAAAGTAGGGATGTCCCAATACCACTTGTTCAAGACCAAGTACAAGCCGATACTTTCTTAAAAAGGGACATGTGACATTTTTCTAAAACATACACTGATGATTTTATGGCAGTTTCTCACCAGGGCAAATACAGATGTCCCCACAGCCTAACACACGTCCCTAGGGCAGAATATTCTGCTTTGGGGACATGTATTCTGAGAATACATGTATCTGCCTTAGGGACATGTGGTCTGTGAGTACATGTCCCCAAAGCAGAATTCCTCTCACCAGGCTGCGTGTCGATCTCACCCGGGCGACATCCACGTCCAGACCGGCGATGCTGGGACCGAGCCTCTTCTCCGTCAGCCATCTGGCTAACCATTTCCGTTGCTGGGCCTCCCGACCTCCATCTTTCTCCCGGCCCAGTCATCCCGTCAGTGGGCAGCAGAAACCCCAAGCTTCTAGCCCTGGGGGCGGCCGCTCCGGCTCCACTGCCGGTAGTTCCGCCCCTGGGGCTGTCCATGGCTGTGCCTGCACCGGGAAGGCTGAGATAAGGAACCGGACAGGCACTGCCATGGACAGCTATCTGCAGGTCCCCGACAGGCTGTCGAGGTCCCCACAAGTGCTGGAACTCAGACAGCCGCTGCTGTTTAAAAAATGTAAAGGGCTGGTAACGGCCTTAAGAAATCGGGGGATTTTCACGAGTACAGGTACTCGTGAAAATGACTGGTATCGGCCCAGACACCGATACTAGTATTGGGACATCCCTAACTTATAGAACTATAAAATCAGCGACAAGTGAATTGTCAGCTTAACCATATACAGAAATACATCAGTGCAAGACAACTGGGACATAAGCGTCGCTGTCTGAAGCAGTGTAAAAGGGATGTAGGCTTTAACATACAGTATATCTACAAAACTAAGCACATGTGCTACAATCTGACTGTAGAACGTCTGATGGATGTAGCAACAACTATGAAATGCCAGGGCCTGCATTGTTAGGTATAAGCTGCATAGATTATGAAAGAATAAGTGGCACCAGAGGTACCAGAGGAAGAACACCCATGTAAAAAATGGAGAAGAGGGGAGAAGAGGGGAGAAGAGGGGAGAAAAAAAAAAAAAAAAAGTGTGGAGGCTCAAACAATACAAGGGTGTAAAAACTGAATGTCTGCAAGAATCTTGCATGCATCACATCAGGACTATGCTACTTACTTTGAAAAAAAAACAAGCCACAATAGGCAGCTTTTTCATAGTAAGCTGTTTAGTGGACTCTTGATAACTATGGCAACCACTGCATTTGATTTTGGCACTACTTCCTAGATGCTCTGGTCGGGTAAACCTGAAAACAGATTTGAAAAACAATGATGTACTTCAAAACAAACGTGCACAGCAAATATGTAAAATGTTTTAATAATAAAAAAAAAAAA